TCTTCCACGAGTGATTCCTGTCCCGTCGAGAGTTGGAGGAATTTTACCTTTTCTCGTACTACTATTTGCCGGTTTAAGTGCTACAGGGGCATTAGCTGGAGGAGCTGCTGGAATTGCTAAAGTTATCAATAATGGAGGCTATTGCACTCGGCCGAGGCTTACACCTTCAACCTTATAAAAAGGTGGTGGGCTTATACTTGAAGCCAAAAAACTATTGACGATGCTGCCACGCAGGGTTCTAACAGATGGAGATCTCAAGAAATATGCGAAACTATGGCTTACCGAAAAATGGACCATTCAAGAATGAATCAGCCATTATCAATTTGGATGATAAGGAGTGTCCTGGCACTCATTGAGTTGCATATAAAAAAATAGGGAACACTGTAAGCTATTTCGATAGTTTTGGGGTCTTACAACCTCCCACAGATTTCTTCAATTACCTTGGAGTTGGTAGGATAAAGTATAATTATGAGCGTTGCCAGAACTGGAATACATACAACTACGGACATTTATGTTCGGCGTTTGTCATTGGACGGTTATATAAGAACAAGCATTGATGGTTTTTCATCAGTTGATGTTGAGAAATCATGAGCGATTCATTGACTTTGACAGTCTCAGGAGCATCATCAGTATTGGAAGTGCAATATTTTCCCCCAATTGAACTTTTCCCGGAGAAAAATTATGTTCTCGGTCTAGTGGAATTTTTAACCTTCAATTTCATCCCGAACGTTGATCCGAGCAGTAATAAATTGCACATAGGAGATACAGTTATCACTATTCCAAAGTGGAGTAATGAAATCGATGATATTGCAAAATTTATTGTAAAAAGTGTGGAAAAAAGCGATATTACTATAAATATCAAAAATAATAATATACTCTACGAAGTGAATTGAGTTGCAATAGAAATTTGGACTTGAGCCCTGAAAATTCGATAGGTTGACTTCTCGGTTTCACCTCTAGAGTTTTGGAAGCCAATAAAACTCATGAATCTGATCAGCCTGTAATCATTCTTAAAGTGAATGCCTTACGAGTCGAATTTAATATCACGACGGGAGCATACAACAATAGTGATAAAGTACACACAATTCACGAATTTTTTCCTGTGGTGCCCCTTGGATATAAAATCATAGAAGTGCCATCACAAGTTATTTATTTTCCAGTGTCTGTGAGAAAAATAAACGATTTGCAGCTCCGAATTGTTGATCAAGACGGTCACTTGATGAATTTCAGGGGTGAAATAATCACCATCAGGCTGCACATCAAGACCATTTTATAAACATGGGCATTGTATGTAATCGCAAAATTGGATGTTCCTTTAATAACAACTAACCATGCCTCTCTTCAATCAGTCCACGTGCTGGCTTCAAGGTGTTAACACCTCAGAATGTGAAGTTCCTCAACAGTCTCGGCCTGGTTGTGAAAAATAGTAGAAAAAACGTTTTTGCCAGATAAAAATACTATTCACTTGTTGGATACCATGGAGGAAAGCCTGAATATTAAAATCCCTTCGGTGTTTAAAGAATCCATCGCCCACTATGAAGTTCATGCGCATTAGCCATATACCTCAACAGGACTGGATAATAGCGACGAATTTCGTATCACCGTAGAAAATCAAGACCTCTGTCTGTATCTTACCAGGCAAAAGTCATTTGCATATTACTGGTAAACTGCTGAAATTGGATAACACGAAAGCGACTCTTACAAAATATGTGAATAACGCTATTTGTCATCTATTTCAAGAGATTTGCTATGAAATTAATGCTATTGAGATTGATAAAGTCAAGAATGTGGGTATCACTACTCTTATGAAAAATCTCGTTTCATTAACACCGAATCAAAGCCTCTGGATGGAAAATGCTGGATGGTTGGGTGTTCAAGAGAAATTTAGTGGATGATGGAGGCTGCTTCGATATTTCTATCGCATTGAGTATACTTTTGGGATTTGATGAAGATTATCGAAAAATTATGGTCAACGTGAAACATGAGCTTGTTTTAATCAGAGCTCATCATGATAATAATGCTACGGTTCAAACAGAAAAGGAAGATGTGAAAGTCACATTCAACAAAATCGAGTGGTTGATCCCATATGTGACATTATCGGATAGTAAAAAAATTGAGTTGCTAAATTTCATCCAGAAAGATCTTGCAATATCGATGAGCTTCAGGTCATGGGAGATATATGAGTATCCGATGCTTCCAGAAACAACAAAACATGTGTGGACGGTGAAAACCGCGACGCAGCTCGAGAAACCGTGTTATATCTTTCTGGGCTTCCAAACAGCAAGAAAAAATAAGAATAAGAAAAACGCTAGTAATTTCGATCATTGTAGCATCGCAGACGTTAAATTATTTTTAAATTCTCAATGTTATACTTATGTAAATTTAGATATAGATAAGACTAAGAATCAGTATTCAATACTTTATTATTTGTATTCGAACTTCCAATCGTCATATTATGATCAACAAGTGAACAATCCATTATTAAGTAAAGCACAATTTCCAACCATTACACCACTGGTGGTGATTGTTCTACACAAAATGAATCCTTAAAACTTAGTCCAGTAGATGTCCATTTAGAATTTGAAATGAGAATGAGCATCCTCAAGGACACTGCTGCTTACTGTCTCATTTTGCATGATCGAGTAGTACATTATCATCCCATAAGTGGAGGGGTGAGAAAAATTGTTTGAAATTGGTACGGCTAAGTGTATAAATTGAAGCGTTGCGGGCCTTAAAGTATCAGTAACCATGGAGCTACTCGTAGATGTACAAGGTTTCCAAACGCTCTTCAACGAGTTCATTGTGAAACAGATTGCATATACAGTTGTGGACTCTGGAACTAGAGATCCGACAGTGTGGTTTTTCAGTTCTCCATTCCTATTCTCCAGTTTACCATCAAAGTATAGAAGTGTAAATCTGTGGCTCGAGCGTCATCATCACAGATTTTCTTAGAACTATGAAAATCGGCAGTATGATCGAATTGGACAATTAGTGCAAGAATGGGAAAATGTTTGTAAAATTTATGTGACAGGTGAAGATAAAAAAGAGTGGTTGAAAAAAAATGCCGGGTCTGCATTAGTACCGCTTGTAATTAATATTGAAGAACGTTATGATTCTTGCTCATCACTCATTCATTTCAAATATTTACCAACTCGTACATGTCCTTTCCATAGTTACATGGATGAACCCAAGGCATGTGCTAAAAAAAATGTTGAACTACTTAAAAACTGGATAATGAAAAACCAATTGTACGATCAGTTTATTATGAATTAAAGAATTTGGCTTTAATGGATTATGAGGATATTGCGTATTTGCCACATTCATTTATAAGTTTCAACGCCGCATCCAGTGCCAATAAGGCTTGGACCAAGTTAACTGATGCTATGAGAGATGATTGCAAGATTGGAAGATTGAGACGTTGTTGGGAGCATTATGCAATGAACGGAGGAGATACTCTTGATGGACCACCTCCTATGATAAGAGATTGTGTGGGTTGTAATCATTCTTAAAAAAATGAAGAAAACACAATTTTTGATAAAAAAAATACGATTTATTCATTTTTTTTAATCAGTACATTATAATATTTCTCAGTGAAATTTTTTCAAAAATAAAAAAATTTAAATGAAAATATTGTTTTTTTATTTGTTTTTCTCCATCCTTGAATAGTTTAAGTTTCCACTTTTTCCTTCTCCTCTGTAGATGTTGGCTTCAAGAATTGGCCGAGAATGAAGTCATTATATGGTCCACTCAAGTATTTCAGCTCCATTTTACCCGCCAGCATGAGGGTCTGCAAATTCTCCCACTCCCTCGGTCCGGTGTTGAAATAATTCCATACTCTCCTGGTTGCAAACACCGCATGCTTCCCATCCAAATAAAAAACAACAAAACAACACTCTCCCCAAATTTCGTTTTCGGTTTGTAAACTGCAGTGACGGTGTACACCTTATTTGACCCCAATTCTGTCATCTTCAGCAGCGGAATGCTCTCCCTCATTGAGACACTGGTGAATTTATCGAAGTTCATAATTGCGGTATCGAAAATCAACGTTCAATTTTGGTCTTCTGGAGAACTGAGCACAATAATTCAACGTCACTTTTCGACTGAATGAATTTTTTAAATTGTTCGAGGTCTTTCTGCAGACGTTCGAGTCTATTTTTTAACTCTTGTTGTTGACGTATGGCGTCTCTCTTCAAAGTTTGTTGTCGTCGAATGGAGTAGCTCCTCATGAGCACAAGATAAAGTGAACTGATGCTGTGGTCTCGAAATGGAGACGATATATACTCAATCCCCCCACTCCTGAAAAGCATTTTTTGAAGATTTGTGTACTCATGTATATGTTCTATCTCACATGGGATTCTAGGAATTTGAAAAATATCAAGGTCACATCCGTTGATTTATGACCCTCCATTATCTTCTCCTGGAATCCATTAAAAAGTGAAAGTTTTTATGACCTTTTGCATTTAAACCTCTTTCTGTGATGACTCATCGATATCTCAGGAATTAAAAAAAATGTCAAGGTCATTTTTATTGATTTATGCCCCCCATTATGATTTTTTAACGTTTCCTGGAATTGTACAGAAAGTGTCATTTGTTGCTATATGGCTTTTCACTTTTAACGCCCCCCCTCCTCCCTCCCCCTCCGCCACGCAAACCCTTGTGACCCTTCTCAGGTATTTGAAGTAAAGAAGCCGCGAATCATACCCACGAATTAATCCGCGAATTGACTGATTAATTAATTAATTGGGACTCGTGGACAGAGCCTTCCCAGACCGTCAAGCTCGAGAATCCGCAATTCACCCGCGAATTAACGAATAAAATTACCACCCACTCGCAGGATACCCCTCATGAACAGACCCTTCTTTAATTAATTAACCACCCACCACCCACTCACGGGGGACCTGGCAAACAGACCATTATGACCCTTCCCAAAACGTTGATCTGGAACCGGCCTCTCACATCTACTGGAGGATCTTTTGGAAACAGCTCATCAGGTCAGAGAAATGTGTAGAGCTAGTGGGTTTCCATTGGCTAAATGGCATAATAACTGCGAGGAGTTTCTCCTGCGACTCTCACCTGACAGTATTTCTCGAGGTCAGCGTTTTTTTAAAGACACTGAAACTCGAATTCTCGGGATTTCTTGGAGACCTACGTCCGATCATTTTGTGTTCACGGTAAAACCAGTTAGCAGTCTGGCGATTACCAAGAGAGTCGAAACGTCAGAGATCGCTCAGCTATTCGATCCATTAGGATTTCTCTGTCCGGTGATAATTCGCTCAAAAGCTTTATTACAGGAGCTGTGGATCGGGAAGTTTGAATGGGATGACAAGCTACCAGACCATCTTTGTGAAAAATGGAAGCAATTTCGTGAGGATCTCGAGAATCTCAAGGACGTGGAGGTACCTCGGTGGTGGAGCATTACAGAGAAGAGTAGACTAGAAATTCAAGGGTTCTTGGATACTTCTCAAGTTGCTATGGCAGCGATGGTATATCTTAAAATCGTCAACGAGGAAGGAACGTGAGTCTCATTAGTATGCTCGAAGACGAAGGTGGCTCCAGTGCAACGACTGACCATCCCTTGCCTGGAGTTCTCAGCAGCGCTTCTCTTGGCTAAGCTCACGAGCTATGTGCAAACTCAGTTAAATCTCATCGATGTACGTGTATTTCTGTGGACAGACTCAGCGATAACTCTCGCTTGTGTGAGTCCACCTCCTTCTAGATGGAAGGAGTTCATGAAGAATGGAGTTCTCAGTGTTCAGGGAACCGTACCTGGGAAGCAGAATTCAGCCGATTGCGCATCTCGAGATCTCTCAGTATTATAGTTGAGGTCGCATGAATTGTGGTGGACCGGACCTGCATGGCTGATGGAGGATCCATCTTTATGGCCAAAGTCAGTGTCGCTCCAGACTCTTCCATCAACCTTGAGGAGAAGCCAGGAGTGTTTCTCATAGTAGAATTTCATCATGTAAGTTCTGAGTTTTCTCAAAAGGTTTTCCTCTCTCTCGAAGCTGCTGATGCATACGGCTGTTTGGCAGCGTTTCTTTGAGGGGATCAGGAGGAAGAGAATCGCAAGTCCATCGATGTCAGCTCCAATTCGTCCTGACGATCTCTCAGCAGCACGTCTCTTCTGGATCAAAACAACTCAAGCATTTCATTTCTCAGCAGAGCTCAAGGTCATCTCACGTGACGAGCAGTTAAGTAAGTCGTACTCCATGGCGAAGCTCACTGTTTCCATCGATAGGGATGGAGTTCTCAGAGTTGGAGGGCGTCTCCAGCGTGCTCAATAGGACTTTGAGAGCAAGCATCAGGCGATTCTCCCGAAGGACTGTTATCTAGCATATCTCATCATTAAGGATGCTCACGAGAGGACTTTTCATGGCGGAACGCAGCTCACACCGACGTATCTCAGACGTTCCTGTTGGATTCTCGGTAGAAGAGCGCCAGTTCGCTCTTTCATCCTTAAGTGCGTTCCTTGTGCTCGTCAGCGCGGAGTACGAGCGCAGCAGCTCATGGGGTAGCTTCCTGCAGCGCGTGTCACCCCTTCAAGTGCTTTTCTCGATGCTGGCGTTGATTACACAGGTCCAGTGTCAAAGTTTGAAAGGGTCGTGGCTCGAAGTCTCATAAGGGCTGGCTAGCTGTTCTCGTGTGTCTCTCAACGTCGGCAATCAATCTCGAGGTCGTATCGGACTACTCAATGGAGGGTTTCATCTCAGCGTACCGGAGATTCATCAGTCGCCGTGGGATCTGTAGGCATTTATACAGTGACTGCGGGACGAACTTTCCAGGCACTGATAAGGAGTTGAAGAAACTCTTCTCTGTAGGGACAAGAGACTCTCGTCATTTCGCTCAGGTACTTCTCAACGACGGAACGCAGTAGTCGTTCAACCCTCCAGGTGCACTTCATTTCGGAGGAAAGTGGGAGGCGGCTGTGAAGTCGGTGAAGTATCATCTCTCACGGGCCATTGAAGATACTTTGCTGATTTTTGGAGAGCTCTCTACTCTACTGGCACAGTTTGTAGCTATGTTCAACTCTCGACCTCTTGAACCTCTCACGGATGATCCCGATGATCTCTCTGCGCTTATCCCAGGACACTTTCTGATTGGTGAGGTTCCGACTACGGTACCTGAGCCTTCTCTCGAACATCTCAAACTAGACTTCGGGCTTTCTGGAGAGTTTAAACTCTTTAAACTCTCCAGAAAGCCCGAAGCAAAACGAGCTAAGATGAAGTGCACGCCTTCAAGGTACGCCCTCAGTTTCATACAAAGAGGAGCATTGTTACAATATAAATGCACAGTCGGTGGTTACCGACATCCCTAAAACCTATGATGAAATAAAAAATCGGGATGATAGGTTTCAGTGGGAGACGGCAATGAAAGAAGAAATTGCCTCCCTGATGAAAAACCATTCTTGGAATATTGTAAACTGTCCATCCAACAAAAACATTGTAGGATGTAGATGGGTGTTTGTCATAAAAAATGATGTTCACGGAAACCCATCCAAATATAAAGCTAGGCTTGTAGCGAAAGGTTTTAGTCAACAGTATCTCTCAGATTACATGAAACGTTTGCGCCGGTAGCAAGAATTACGACCTTTCGGATTCTTTTGACTTTCGCGGTTCAAAATGATCTACTAGTTCATCAAATGGACGTAAAGACAGCATTTTTAAACGGATTATTAGAAGAAGAAATTTACATGGCAATACCTGAAGGAGTGAAAGCTAATGAAAATCAAGTATGTAAATTAAACAAAGCGATATACGGATTGAAACAATCAGCTCGATGCTGGTTTCAACGCTTTGATCAAGTGCTAAAGGAGCATGATTTTTAAAATTCATTAGTAGACCATTGTCTTTATTTTCTTGATCGAGGTCACATCACTAAGAACATTTATGTATTGTTATATGTTGACGATATTTTAATAATCACTTACGATGAGATTACAATAAAAAATTTCAAGCAGTATTTGATGAAACAATTCTCAATGGTAGACATGAACGAAGCCAAATAGTTCCTTGGGATAAATATCGAAAGAACGAACGATATGATCACCCTAGATCAGAGTGCGTATCTCCGAGTTTTAAAGAAATTCAATATGAACGACTGCAAATCAGTAAGCACTCCACTACCAATAAAATTAGATTATGCTGCCTTAGATTCAGAGGTGACCTGTGAGGCACCATGTAAAAGTTTAATAGGCTGTTTAATGTATGCTATGTTATGCACTAGACCAGACTTGAGTACAGCTTTAAATCTGTTGAGCAGATATCAAATTAAAAATAATCAGGAATTATGGCAATCCTTGAAAAGAGTATTGAGATATGTTAAGGGTTCTTTGGAACTCAAATTAGTTTATAGAAAGACTCATAACAAAGATATGTTAGTTGGGTATGCAGACTCTGATTGGGCAGGTAACGAATTGAATAGGAGAAGTACCACGGGATATTTATTTCAATTATTCAATCAGAATACGATTTCATGGAATACTAGGCGACAAACCTCAGTCGCATCATCCTCAACAGAAGCTGAATATATGGCTCTATTTGAAGGAGTAAAAGAAGCCTGCTAGCTTAAATCCTTGGTAGCTTCTATCAAAATTGAAATATTAACTCCGTTAACAATTTATGAGGATAATACGGGATGTATCGCGATTGCTAATAACCCAACTGATCACAAAAGATCAAAACATATCGACGTGAAGTACCATTTCACGAGAAAAAAAGTCGAGAATAAAGAAATAACACTTAAATATATTCCTACAGGTGAGCAATTGGCAGATTTCTTCACGAAACCACTACCAGCTGTTCAATTCTTGAAAATCCGAGGACAAATAGGCTTGGAGGAAGTGTAATTGAACTCTTAAAAGTGTTTGTGAAAGACTTTCGTTGAATTTCAAACGAATTAAAACCAAAATTATGTTAATTAGTATAACGATACCTTGTATATATGTACATATATATATGTATATATATATAACCGTATATTATAAAATACGTATAACATGGTTTAAATATTTAAGTATTGGTCTGGTTGGGTTTTTGCACTCAGGGGTTTTCCCCAACCCTTTGCAATGAATATTGGACCAACTATGTATTCCCCAAGAGAGAGAAAGAAAACATAAAATGAAAACTTAACAGAGCAAAATTTATATGTTAAATGTTGATAGCTTATTTTTGAGTGTGAGTGTTGAAATATACAAAAATAATTAATTAAATTATCAAGAGTGACGTAGTTGGTATAAATGAGAGAGTGGATGCTTGGGAGGTCTGTACGACTCTCTGAAGCTGATTGTTTATTTAGCGTCATATAAACAAATGACGAACTCAAGAGAATAAAAGAAACGACTGTTCTCCTTTATCCCCTTTGTGGTGGATATGCGTATTGCTTATTAGTTATTTGATTTTGAGTCTAGTTCCTCGACGGCTCTCAGAGAGAAAGCACGTCTCTAATAAATTGTATCATTGCTCTGGTTAAACTGATTCAACTTATTTGTTTCCATAACCTGCATCCCATATTCCAACAGTTATTTTATATACACTTTGGTCATTTTTTTGACAGAGGATTATCAATTATTTTGTTGTTTTATAATGTTGGTTGTTTATTTGTTTAATTCTATGGAGGTCTGTAATCATTTCTTCTATATCTATTTTGATTATTATTTCCAATTTTGAACTCGAAATGCTTCTTCGCGAATTTTCAACGCTCTGATAAATGTAACGGTTTTTCTTATCCGCCAATATTTTTTACTAATTCTGGAGTAGTCATTAGTGTCGACTTTGTGTATATCCTTAGCGTAAACCATTTCCCTATTCATGAAATCATCTATGGAGATTTTTTTGTTTCTTTTGCGTCTTTTAATATGATATAGGATTGGTCTGTTGTATTCATCTTGAAACAAACCAATCCTGTCGTAGTATGTGAAATATTGGGGTTTTATGGTTCCGCATCTGGCACTGCCGATCGCCTCATCTTCCGGGAACTCCACCAACGAGTTAATTGTTTCATTATTAATCGTTTTCATTTTATTGAAATAGTCTCTGGTTAATTTGAGGATGAAGTTATCTATCCTTGGGATTTCAACACTGCAGTACAGATGTTTGTTGCTAGCGGGGGGTAAAATGGGATAATGGGGTGAATTGGAGTAGGGGGGTGAATCTGCTAGCGAATTGATTTCGTTTTTGAATTTTTAAAATTCTTTAGTTCACCGTCTAATTGTTTTAATTATGGTTCGGTAAATTGAATGATGGAATGGAATTAGATGATGGGTGCTAGTCACTGCTCAGATTGTGGGATAAAATGGAGTAAATGACTAGCTAATTAGCCGGAGGGGTAAATTGGACGAAGGGTATATTAAATACTGGTGTTTAGTGCGATAATCGGGTAAAACCGATAGCGGGGTAAAATGGGTGAGCCTGGCAAATATGAGAGTAAGTTAAAACGGGATGGTGAGGTACAATGGAAGAGCCTGGCACATTAGAAGATAGATGAATTTTGGCCGAGGGAGATATAGGACAACAAGATAAAATAGGACGGGGTGAATTCGTGATGGGATAACGGGGTATAACAGAATAAGGGTGCAAAAGCGGATCCGCGCCAATCCGTTATTGTTTTACTCCACTATGCCATTTTACCCCATAGCCAGGTTAGTGCATCGTGCAATTCACCTTGCTGTCCTATTTCACCCCTTCCCCCCGGCCTAAATTCGCCCATCATCCAGACAGTTCCATTCTGCCTCACTTTCCCGTTTTACCCCACTAGCTAATTCGTCTGTTATTTAGTTCACCACTCATCCCATTTTACTGAAAATTTTTATCCCAGGGACTCA